TGCAAGGGTGTCCTGTCCATAAATGTTTTCCAGTAGAGTCCAGATATCAAGTCAGTTTTAGCTGCATTTTAGAGTTTTTTTTTTTTTCACAGAACTGAATATGGCAACTCTCCCAATACTACTACATGTGCAGAAAGAGTCTTCCACAATACAGAATCCTGTCCAAGATAACCCAGCTGCAGTGGAGAGCTAGGGTAAAATCCTTGCATTGCCAAATGCACCTGGAGTATTTAAAGGAACTTGAAATGTGGTAAGTTTCTGTATTTCTCTATGTACTCTTGGGGCCATTGGTAAGTTTTGCCTAGGTATCCCAGGTGTGCACCCATGGCCAGGACCAGGTCATGTTGTGATAGAAATGGTTATCCAGAAGAAAGTTTTAGCAGTCTGGAAAGTCCAGGATCTCTTCACATAAGTGTTAATTATAATTAATTTTTACTCCTTTGCTGAGGAAAATCTAACAAATGGGGGAAAATTGTTCAGTTATGGACAGAGGCTAATGTCTCTAATACCAGGTACTCAGGAAGTTGAAGCAGGAAAATCACAATTTCAAGGCCATCCTGGGTAACTAAATGCTACCCTGTGTCAAAATTCAGAAAAAAGTAAAAAAAAAAAAGGGCTATAAATATAGCTTTCTGGTAGAATCCCTTGAGTTCAATGATTAGATTGCAAAACAAACAAACTTAATTAAGTCTACACAAGGTTAATAAGTAATTCTCAGTATTCATCACAATAAGAATTCATAGAGGAAAATTTGGTAGCTTTCCCTAAGAGAGAAACAGTCATATATATCCAGGTAGAGTGGAAGGTGAGGGAGCTTCTGGAGAATGAGAAAATGCAATTTCTGGCCTTAAACTTGGGTTATGGAGTGAAACAGAAGGAAGTGGGACACTGGTGAGTGCAGGATGTGCAGTTGTTTATGAACAGTGACAGAGTTTCAGGCCAAATGGGCAGACTTTGAAGAAACAGGGAACCTGGATGTGTACTGGATAAACAGGCAACTTCTTCAGAATCAGATCTGAGAGACAGGGAGCCAGAGGAATGGATCATAAGTGCCCCAAATGCCTGGAATAGAACAATGATCAAGACCTAGGAAGTCCAAGACTGACAACAATCACTTTGACTAAGCAAGGAAACACATGTGGACTCAGCAAGGGTGTATATGTGGTGAATAATCAGCCAGTTTTCTGCTGCCCATCAGTTCATCACCCTGCCTATGGGGGCACTGCCCAATCCCTGGGTGGCTCAGAGACTAGGAGGGTGGCCAAATTTGCACCCTTTTGCTGCTCAAAAGCTGCCAGCAGAAATACTCTAGATTTTAATCAACTAGAGCAGCCTTTTTGTGATCTTTATCCTGAGGGAAAACATGAAGGATTGTCTAGGACTAAGGAATTTCCCCATAAAGAGTCTACCTGACTTAATTTCTCATTAGTTAGATAAGGAATCTCTAGCTACTATATGTGATCTTTGGTACTTTTTGAGCAGAGTATGATTTTCTTTTATGTGTGACCCCATTCCCATAAGATGTCAGTACTAATACAGACATAGTGGAGTTAGAGGTAGTTTCTGTGTTTATTGTTTACAAATTTTTCCTCTAACAATTTGTCCTTAGGTAAGTTCCTTGAAAGTTAATTCCTAAAACCATTAATCAAGGCATTGTGAAGGGAAGTGCAAGCTATGTGGCAGCTTTGTTCAAACCCTATAGAAAATGTTTTCTCAGGAAGCCATGTTCATCCCACCTGAATCTGTGCTGTGAGTTAATATATGTTTTACTTGAATTGAACACATCCTTCCCCCTGGAGAGTTGGGACTTCTCCTGCTGGCATTTATTAAAATCTTTCTTCATGTTCCCAGGTTTCCATGGGGAGCAGATGGCTTTCCTTCTGGAATTCGAGAGATGGGTGAATGCAGGCCATGTGAGGATATTTATCTCTAGGGTACTACTATCCTAGGCTCATAAAACCTCCCCCTTCTCAGAATATCAAGTTCTCAGGGAAAAGAAGAGAAGGTGCCCATCATCTGTTTCAGGTTGTGTTAAAGAGATGGGGAAAGACTGTCTTTCTGAAGCCCATCTCCCAGCTCTCCCAGAGGAGGAGCTCACAAGCCTGAAACACTCTGAACTATTGTCACTGCAGCACACATAAGAAGGAAACCAATCAGAATTCCCTTTGCCTCATGATTTTTCCCAAAATGGAATCCCCCCACCCCCAACTCACCTGCTGCTGCTTCTGCCACTGTCCTCTCCTTGCTTCTTAGGTGTGAATGGTGGCAAGAGAGGGGAGCAATTTGACTGTCTGAAATTGGCCCTGTATATTCAGGGAGGAGCTGGGAAGCTACAGCTGCAGCCAGAAAGCAGCATACTTCCTCAACAGCTTCTTTTGGTTAACTTTTACATTCTAGAATCTCTTTACTTAAAATCCAGGGCTTTTGAGAAGTGAGGTCAGTGGTTTTTTGTGATGGTAAATAGTTGCTAAGTAGGAGGTTTCTGCACCATGCCCACCATATAAGCAACCAGTACAAATAGGATGCCCATTTTATGGAGAGTGCTCCATGTTTTCCTATTCACCTCTTTGACTCTGGTGTATTTCCTTTGCTACATCTCTGGATTTCCCTGTATACCTTGGAATCAATGTGCCCATTGTCCTCCTCATTATTCAGGTGTACTGCCCCCATGTAAAGTTAGCCATCTTGTAGGCCACACAAACCAACCCTCATGGCATCTGGAAGGGTTATTCTCTCAATTCTGAGTAGAAAGCCATGTGCTGGGAGGAAGTCTAATTTTTTCATCTGAGAAATGCAGAACCTCCTGTGAAGCCAGGCTTTGATGGGGCATCAGCTGTCCAGGTGCCAACCCTGGTCTTTTTGAAACCATGTTTCTGAGGAAGACCAAGATTTAGCAGAGGGGGATATCAGACTGTGCTACTTGGGTAGGTCTTTGTAGCAGTAAAATATCATTGCCATTCAAAACACCTACATGTAAACAAACAATAAATAAGTTATAGGTAGAAAGGAAACAAAAAGAAAGACTGGGAATTACAACTTATTGATTGAAAGGCTTGTGCTACTGTTCACCCTTTCACTCCCAAGTCAGTTCTGCCTCCTAGGCCTGCTACTTACCAAGATGGTTCTCCCAAGACTAACACTCAAATTTTTTATAAATCTGCAAATCTTCACTCACAATTTTAAATGTACTGAAAATTCATCCACATTGAAAATTGCCCTGTTATTTCACCCACAAATACAACCATGTTTAGAGTAGTTTCAGTGAAGGGAGACACAAAACCTAAAACAGAAGGTACATTCCCAGGAATCCACAAGATAGGGCACTTTGCAATGTTACCTACTATTCTGATATCAGAGAACACATTATCCTAATGATCCTGAGAATTTGCCAACCATCTTGACCTGTATTTTGGTTACCAGACTGATGTCACCTTCACATCCCTTCCCATGCCTACTCTTGAATTTCCTTTAAAAGAAGAGGTTGAGAAACCTGAGAGAATCTCTGACTCTCCAAATGACACCTATTCTCCCTGAAATGTTCATTTTTAATGTTCCTAAATCAATAAGTTTGCCTCTAAGTTGTGTACTTCAATTCATTTCTGCAGTATTTTTTGGGGATCCCCACTAATCATAAGTTGAGGTGCCCCTCTTTGGTAACTCATCACATGCACATGAGGATGTGTGTAAGCTCTCTCTCTCTCTTTCTCTCTCTCTCTCTCTCTCTCTCTCTCTCTCTCACACACACACACACACACACACACAAACACACACACACAGACCCATGCACACAAAATTTCATGGGAAAAAAAATTTGAACAACAATGTGTGTTGGCTAATTACACATATTAGGACATGGTTCCCATTATGGGGAAATAGTATTCTAGAATCTGCAACAGCTGGAGAGGCCGAACTGTGCTCTCTGTGGTCCTGCCCACAACCCTCTTGACATGCACACTCTTTTCTTCTGGACATCTCTCAGTACTCATCCCTGGGGTCAAGTCACCTGTCCTGTCTCTTTTGAGGGCCAATCATTTCCTGTTGGATTCTAGAAAAATTGAAATGACTGTGCACTGATCTAGAGAGAGAAAAGATTGTGTGGGACCTAGATGTCAAAATTTGATAGGCTGCCCCTTTTTTTAAAAGACAAAGACCCTTGATTGAATGGATAAATAACATTTTTTTGAAAAAAAAAATATGGTCACAAGACTACCAATTGTGACATATTCTATTCCCGAGACTTATGCTGATATAGTTTATTCAAGATTTACAGTTAACTGTAATCCTGCTATGAGGTCCCCATTACAACAAAGCATGAGGAGCTTCATGTATGGTCAGACCTCATAACCAATTCAAAGTCTTCCTGAAGAACCTGGTAAATGCAATGGTCTGGGTTGTTCAAAACAAGTTCCTTCATCTGTTGATCCCCTCCCCCTTTTTTAAAGGCCAGTCTGCCTTTACCTTGATGGAACTCTTGTTTGATTTCTAACTGAAACTGTATCTCCCAGTTTGCAAATCTATTCTGTAGCTGAATATAATCTGTCTTTGATTCAAGGTTAACCTTATTTATCCTTTCTTGGTTTGCAACCCTCTGTTATGACAGAATCCTGCAGCACTCAGTGGTGACCAGACACTGCCATACTCACAGCAGTCAACCTTGATTTTCAACCATGGAAACCTCCATCAGGGTCCCTTCAATGGTAATCTGGGACACAGGATCATCTAACTCAGCCCTTTTCCCAAGGACAATGCTGGTCTCATCTCTCACAGAATTGTCCCCACTGACTGATAGTGAAGAAACCTAACACTATGTTGTCAAAATGATCTCAATTATGATCCAAGTCATCTCTCCTTAGGAATAAAGGAGTTTGCAAGGAGAAATTCACAGGACTCAGGGTTCCAGAGAGGGACATGGAGCTGTAACTCTAAGTCCCTGAGGAGGAAGAGGGGAGCCACAGAGGTTTTGCCTTCACTTCTCCTTTTCATGTGTCACAGTGGCTTACCCGCTCTGGCCATCAATTGTATGTCTCTCTCCACAGTAATAATCAGCTTCATCCTCAGGCTGGATGTTGGCAATTGTTAAGTAACGATTAGCCCCAGAACTAGAGCCTGTGAAGCGGTCAGAGATCCCAGTCCCCTTGCTGTGGCTGCCATCACTGTTCACCTTCATTACATACTGGGGGCTGTTCCCCAGCCTCTGCTGATACCATAAAATGTAGTAGTTGCTGTGCTCACTGCTCAGGGTGCAGGTGAGTGTGGCTGAGGCTCCCAGGGAGGCAGATGCAGATGGCATCTGGGTCAGCACAGGCAGGGCACAAAGACCTGGGAACAAACAATTTCATGAGTGATATTCAGTGCTCAAAAAATGGGAAATACTTCCCCTTAGGGTTTTTGGAAGAAAATAGAGAGAGGGTCCCCAGGTTGCTTTGAGATTCTCTGACCTGTGGAGAAAACAAGGGGCAGGAGGTAAATGTGAAGCCACTCCATAGTGGGGAGGTTCTTTCAAGTGCTCTACCTTGAGGCTACCCAGCTGGGCCTGGATAAAATGTTCCCTTTTATCTTGTTTTCTTGTAGCTAGAGAAGGGAGGAACATTGCATGCAAATTTGTTCTTCTCTTCCCCAGCTTATTTGTCTGCATTCTTGTCTGAGCTCTGAACTTGATGGCTCTGTGCTGGTAATATCCTAAGTTCAGAAGAAGGGCCTCACTGGGGCCTGGTGCAGTGGCACATGTCTGTAATCCCAGCAGGAGTATTGAGTTCAAAGCCAATCTCAGCAATTAGCAGGGCCATAAGCATGTCAGTGAGACTCTGGCTCTAAATAAATTATCAAAAACAGCTGGGGATGTGGCTCAGAGGTTAAGTGCCCCTGGGTTCAAACCCCCGTATCATTAAAAAAAAAAAAAAAGAAGGAAGGCCATGTAAATATCAGAGGTAGAGAGGGCAATTCGCCTGGTTGCAGCAGTCTTAAAGGAAAATCCATGATGCCCTCTGCACTGGAACATTTCTAGAAGTTCCCAGCCCAAGTCTCACAATACCCACTGCTGCCCACAGAACAAATGGCACCCAAAGTGCATCATTAGTTTATGCAGAATTACCAATTCTGAACCCTTATTGTATGGCAGTCTCTTTGACAAGTGTCTTAAATAAGACACTTCAGGCAGACATTTGCAATAACCCAACAATAGCTTTATGCTTGGGCATAAACTGTCCCCCTGTATTCTGATGAAGGAACCATCATTCAGAGATTAAGAGATCTCACCTATGTCCCCTAAGGAGAGAAAGTTGATCAAGAGTTCTGCTTGCAGACACACTTCAGAGTTGTCCTTTCATCCCCTCAGTCCCTTGCCTCCCCACCCATTTCCTCCTCCCTCCCTCGTCTCAGGTCTCCTGGACCTTCTTGTCAGAAGCCTTTATTCATTTATAAAGAACACTCTTCTCTCTAAGTTCTGTGGAAGGGAAAGTTATATTTTCTCTGCTTCTTCCATGACATCTTACCAATAAGAACTTCTGGAACTATGAGGAGAGAGTTAAAAGCATAATGAGAGGGCACAAGATCATAGATAGGAACAGAGACCCTTGTAATTGAACACCTGGAATGTGCTGCAGGGTCAGCCTTTTTCCAGCTCTGAATTCAGGCAAGTTCCTCCTGCTCTCTGAACCTCAGCTTCCCTATCTGTGAAAAGAATAATGCTTGGATCAGAGTGGGGTTGTTTTTAAATGATGTGAGTCATGGAAAATATTGGATACATGCACACACTTATACAGAGACAAGTGCAGGAATGGCTGTAGTTTGTGTACTAATTAAAGGAAGGGTCATCCTAACCGCTGACTATTGTGCTTAAAGGGTTTTATGTGTCAGGTTCCTGGCCCTGGTCCTCAGTAACACCAACAGGATGTCTCCCTGTAGAACTAAAGCCAATTGATTTGTCTTCTTACCACTCTGTGATGAGTGTCAGCACTTCTCTAGCTGCCTCTCTTTGCTATCTGTGAGAACCTCGGGCTGGGAGGATGACCTTAGCACCAAAAGACTAGAAACACAATTACCAATGCTTTAAGAACTTTCCTCCAATCTGTGTGAGATGAGCCAGACTTTGTTTCTAGTCCTTCTGGTGCTGAAAGAAAGTGACACTGACAGGGAAGGAGTTTGTATCTCACTTCCCACCTGTGTGTCAGTGTGAGATGTGTACCACTGCTATTCTATGACTAACAATAATAGCCACATCCTTGGCTTCTGCTGTGTTGGCAGACAGGGTGGCTATTGTCCCCTATGTAGAGTCAACATATCTTTCAGGTATATCTGAGGGCTGCTCACTCTGTATATCATTTAAGCACAGGTCTGATCTGGCTTAAGCTGGTTCCAATGAATGTATTCTTTGGGCAGTGCAACTCAGAGCAGGGAATCATAGCTTTCTGTTCCACGGGCACTGAAACTGAGGACATCTGTGCAAGCTCTTAGGAGGTCAAAGATCCTGCAAGAGAGTAGAGGAGAGATGGCCTCAGGATGAAGGACCCATTTTGAGTAGCCCCACTTAAATTGTGTCTGGGTTGAGTATAGTGTTTGAATCAGACCCAGCTCAGTGTACTTTGAGGGCTGAAACTAGGGATAGGACACAGGGAGATCACTTTTACAGAGAGTGAGAAGGTGAACAGGAGTGGTATACAGGCAATGGTATTGATGTCCCAAGCTCTTGGTTTTGAAATCTACAGCACAGCTGCTCTCCCCAAGATTGCTCTCAGGTCCTTTGGGACAGTAAATGTTCGTTTTTTATGAAAATCCTCTCTTCACTGAGTGTTTGTGGTTAACATTCTAGCCAGATATGGGGTAGTACAGGAGAATAAAGAGAAGAGAGAGTGCCCTACTCCCTCCAGCTGCATATGGCAGAAATTCAGCCTTATATGCCAAGGCCACCTACCACAGTAACCTTCCATATTTTGACCAGTGACCATCTTTCTATTTTCTTTGTGCTATGGTTTGTCTGGCCCCAGCTAAGCAGAGTTGTTCACCTTCCAGGATCCTGACCATGGGGTGAACTGGAACCCTTTGAGGCTGTTGATGCCACATGACAGAAGAAGGTGGACAACTTATCCACGACTTCCCCCTCTTCTCCTCTCTTGGACTGTAGATTCAGTTTGGCCCATTCCTGGTCATTTTATCAGAATACAGCACTTTGTCATTAGAACTGTTGCTAAATCATTTCATATATTACATTGTGTTTGGTAAAGAACCTGAATATGTGGACTTATCACAACTTACAATCTCATTTTAATGTGGTATTCTCTCTTTTCTATGACAGCCCCCTTCCACAATAGATTAATAACTGGCATCAAAAATTTATTCTTACTTTTTTCTCTTGGCAAAATGATTTACCTAATCTTGTTACTAGTTCCAGAAGCCTGAGCTATTTGAGAAAAAACTGAAATCTCCATGGTATCTTCAAAGATTGTGGGAGTCACAGATGTACATGGATGATCACAGGACAGTGAGTGGATAAGAGTCCCTCCAGCAAAGAGGATCCTTTCACTTACCCAAGGTCAGGCCCCATGGTCATTCCTGAGTCCCTGAGTCAAGAGAGATTCCAAAGCACTCTGCAGAGTCTCCTCAAAGAGGTTGTTCATGGTCCATCCAAGGAAGGAGCCCAAGTGTCCCTTCCCCCACCTGTACCTGAACATGATCACAGAGCCTTAAAGATGATGTGAGTGGACATGGGAGGAGAGGCCAGGATGAGTCAGGAGGCATCTCTGCAAGTTCCAGGCATGGACGGGTAATACCTGGGACAACATATGGACAGTGAACAATGGTACCGTAAGATTAGGCAGGGAACCCATGAAGCCATACTGAAGGAAGGACACAGGTGGAGAAGCCCCATATTTTCACACTGAGCTGCCTTCTGAGGTACCTGGATCTCAGCTTTGTCTCTTTAGTGATTTTCAGCCCTACAAAGCCTTCTCAGGCTGATACCTAGGGCCAGCTTCCTCCACTTCCTTTCTTAAGTGAGTGCTGTAATTGGTTTTGGGCTCATTTAAATGAGATTCTGACCCTCAGACTATGGTCATAGTAGCCCAGGGCATAGGATGGACTCTCCTGGCTTCCAAATCAATGCCTGATCATTGCTTTCCTCTCCTGGACCCCCATGCTGGCCTCCCTCTTGGTGTCTTCTGGACAGTTCTAGCCTCTGTCTTAGCAGCACCTCTGCTGCCATCTTTTGGTAGAGGAGACCAAGAACTGCTGCTTCTCTCCAGATTACACCAAAAGCCTATGAACCTGCAATTTTGTGGACAGAGTGTTGCCTCACTCTGAGCCAGCTGTACCCTGCTAAGCACAGCACAGCACAGATAGGCAGCATTTGGGTTGTGCAGAGAAGTAGGCTGGTGTATTCCTGTAACAGAGTCTCAGTATGAAAAGCTGTCTCTGGGCCTTGTATTGTGATAGGAAAATAGAGCTTACAGAATAAACTTGTAGGTGTTCTGTAAAGTGCCCTTTCCAGAAAAACTTCTGTGACACTCTTCAGGGACATTTAGTGCCTTTATATTATACATAGGAATCAGACTGACGCTTTTCCCTGATCTGATATCAGTAATAGCATTGTCATCAGAACACCTGATGTGCTAGCACCACAGCCCAACTATGTTTACATCACCAAAACTATCAACATCTTTCTCCTCCTCCTCCTCATTTTCACCTCTATTACAACTATTACTATATGACCCACTTTTACAGTGCATTTTGGAGGACTTGCTCATCAGCCCAGTATGCCTTCACTTTCTAACTGGGAACTTCCTTATCTGTTCTCTGCACAAGAAGTCTAATCCCACCACCCAGAAAAATAAATGTTTGAAGATTTTCCATATTTCCCCAGAAGGACAGATTCTAAGGATGATGTCACTTAGTGAAATCCAGGTTGAGCTTCTTTTAATTAATGAGACTCTTTTTGTTATTGTGTCATTTAATTTGGAAAAAAATATAAAGCTCCATTCAAGTCTTCCCATTTCAAAGTGATATAGTTAAGACCCAGGAAGACTCAATTACTAGGAAAAAAGAGAATAGTGTTTTCAAATTGTGGAAATAACCCAGGTATCCTACACTTAGGTATTAGTCTCTATGTAGGAGAATTTTGCCGTGTCACCTGGGGAGAGGTGAGGGCATGAAGGCCATTCTAGGAGGCACACTTTATGTCCCACACAGCTCAATGCCCACTCCTCCATGGCCTGGCCATCACCATGAGCCAAAATCAGCCTGTAAGTGATGGTGACCATGGGGCTGTGCCCAGATTACAACTGTCAAACATGGAAAATGATCGTTGCTTTGCTGGGCATGGCTGATCCAGCTCCTGATGTTTCTCTATGTTCTCTTGCCTGCTCCCCTCTTTCTTGAATAGGTGGCTGATATGGCCACCTCTACAGGGGGAATCTGATTCTCATATGAACCTAGTATGTGTAGTTTCAGGAGACCAAAGACTCATTCTTAGAGGCCCACCCCAACATGCTCTCATGCTTTGAGGTCAGGGTCAGGCCAGGTTCAGAATCTTGTGGGAATGAATCTGGGGACAGGGCCGTGGCTTGTCACCTTTTTAGTGAGAGCAGCAGAGGATTCCAGGCCATACCAAAGATGTCTTAGAGCTCTGCCTCCTAAGCCCGTAGCTGGGCAGGGATCTTGATCTTGAAACAGAAAGTTGAAATTCATGGGTCAGAGAGTGGTACTAAAGTTGGTGCAGTTCTAGATGATTCCAGAGCAGTTTAGAGGGGCTCAACCTAGTGGGAGATGGTTGGAGTGGGTGGTCTTTCAGGCCCCATTTCTGGCACCACTGAGTCCCCTAAGTAGGAGGAAGAGGCCCCTGCCCTATTCACTGCAGCTTCATAGCTTGTCCAGAAGAAGCCCAAGACTCTAGCACCACACCAGGGAGGTACTGAGGTACACTCTGGATTATAGGCCACACTGGCCCTGCAGAGGGCCTGTCCTTTGAGGATGTGAAAGTAAGAAGAAGAAAGAGTGTGTCTATGAGAAATACTGAACAAAGGGACCTCAAATATCAGATTCTTTATATGAAACACTCCCTGCATTTTAAATCAGTGTGTCTATTCTTGTGAAATTTAGACTTTATTTTGCAAGTATACATGGATTAAAGGAATGAATGAATAGTCATCTTTTGATGAAAAATGGGTATTGTGTTTTTTGATACACTCAATGATCAAGTTCACATGCATAATAAGTAGGATGAAGGGTTCAATATCTACAAATAATGAGGACCTTTAGTCCTGTAGGACGTTTGGGTGGAATGAAGTTTGGCCAGCAAGAGGCATCCAAGATTACCTCAGGTTTCATCAAAAACTGGAATGGATTTAGGATTCTGGAAGGTTATATTGGACTGCTTCTGAAGCCAGTGAGTGGGTCTCAGGTAACTCAGGTCAGTCCCCTGGCACCTACTTAGTTGTGAAGGAGGCTGATCATCCCATGGTTGTTTGCTTTAATGCCCAAATGGCTTCTCTCAAGCTGAAGGGGTCAGAAGCTTCTGGCTATGTCCCTCAGTCTGGCCTAGGCAGGACCTGACATGGAGGATAAGGGGGAATATGGGCTTGCAGAGAAGAAGACTTGGAGCAGGGGACAGAGGGAGGGGAAATTATGGATTAAAGACAGACGTAATGAGGGGGTACTGCAGAGGGATGAAGAATCTTAGAGACACTTCTGAGAAGGAATTAGAGCAGGGATGGCCATGTTTTCCTCTCTGCTAGACCTCAGAGTAGCCCAGGCAGTCAATGACATTTCTTCCAACTGGAACCTTCCAAAATACACAATTGGGGAACTCTCACATGTTCATTTCTATCCCTGTGGAGATGAGTTGTACAGGACTGGGATGGTTGACCCGATATCTCCCTACCCCTTACCTGAATACATGTGTATCTGTTTTTTTCTGGGAATGTCACATGCTCTCCTCTCAACTGGTCATTGTCATCCTGCAGAATGTTTGTTGGGGCTAAGGACTGAGGTCACCAGTGTCAGTTTCACTGTTGGACCCAAGACACTTGTACTCAGAAAGATGAGGGAGTAAACTACAATTTTTTTACTTTGGGACATTCCTGAAAAGTGATTTCCCAGGTAAACAGCTGGGTCCATTGAAGAAATAGTTCTTATCTGGAAAAACAGCTACCTTATCAAATAGAAGTTTAATAATTAATATCAACAGCAAAATTCTCCATGTCTAATTTGTACCAACCCTACCTAGTATAACACTAGGTACATGGATACACATCAAAACCCTCCTTGACAGACCTGCCTTAAATCGCCCCAGGACATATCTTCCAAATCTAGAATCATATCCTTTCCTTCCCCTTCTTAACCATAAATAAGACCCTGCCACAGTGAAATTCTCCTTAATACTAACATGCAGTTTTGTTTGACTAAAGACTTGCTGTGGCCTTTGGGACTGGCAGCTCAAGTTAATAAAAATGACTTGCTCAGTGGCCAATGGAATCAACTGATCCTGGGGAGGTACAGGAGCCTTCCCTTCATCTCTTAGGAATGTCTGGACAGGGATGGGAGTAGACTTCCTCCACAGCATGTGACATGCTCTCTGCTCTCAGGGTAACCAGGGCAGGAAGAGGTCTTTGGTGCCAAGCTGATGGTAGGTTTTTGTCTCACTGCCCTGTCTGCTCGAGTCACTGTGAGCATCATTACCATCTCACACCTGACAGTAATAGTCAGCCTCATCTCCAGCCTGGGTCCCACTGATGGTCAGGGTGGCTGTGTTCCCAGAGTTGGAGCCAGTGAATCGGTCAGGGATCCCTGAGGGCCGGTTATTATCATTGTAGATGATGAGCAGCGGGGACTGTGCTGGCTTCTGCTGATACCAGTATACACAATAGCTGCCAATACTATTGCCTTCACAGGTGATTCTGGCCGCTTGTTCAGGGGTCACTGATACTGACGATGGCTGAGTCAGCACATAAGTGGCTACAGAGCCTACAGGGAAATAAAAGAAGAGAGAGGACTAATGGGGATAGACACTTCCCATGAGATGCCCAGTTTCCCCCTGGCCTGAAAAAGCTTCAGGAAATCTATGGAAACAAGGGCATCCTGGCATCAAGACCAGCCATAGTGGCCCATGAGTCTGACTGCCAAATGGAAATTTGAATCCATGAGCAAGCCCAACCCCTTTCCTCCTCAGGCTCACACAAGCCAGAGAGCACAGTGTTGGAATTTCAGCCTAAAATCTCATCCTGCAGCAGGTCCTGAGCAGCATCATGCCCACCACAGACAGAGCTTTGTTGAGCTCAGAATTAAGGCCAGGTTAGATATACAGGAGCCATGGGCTGGGGTGTATGTTGGGACCTGGGGGGCAGCACCTGTGTAATGAGCCAGGAGGCTGAGGAGAAGAGCCTTCCAAGTCATGGTGTCCCTGTAGCTGCTTCTTGAGTCCCAGGCTGGCCTGTGTTCCCCCCAGGCCTCTTTTATTTCCTTGTTGGGGACAGCTGCCTGTTATGCAAATCAGGCCAGCTTGGGGCTGCTACTGGAGGAAGCTATGTGATGTTCAGAGAAGGGCTCATCCCTAGGGAGTCAAAGAGTGGGAGGGGCAGCTCTGAAGAACTACCCCCAGCTCACAGAATGCTCCTTTACTTTATGTTCCCAATTTATTGGCCAAGTCTCTATCCCAGGTGGTTTTCTAGCCAGGAATCTGGGCTGGCCTGGTTATATAATGCTGAGTCTGTCTTTGTCATCAAAATCAACTGTTTGTTGACAATAAGAGGTTTTGTCAGTTATGGGATCCTGTCCCAGATACAGCTTCTAAGCTGTGTGGGTCAATCAAATTCTTCCATAAGTGTACCTGGTATCTTAAAGTTCCAATGAGGTGCTATATCTCTCTGTCCTTGGTGTGAATGCCTCATGCAGATTTGGATGTTCTGCCTCACATCTCCTAATGGCTGTAGGCAGGTTCTACACCTATCTTGAAAACTAATAGACACAGAGCTTCAGCATGTATGGTGGCCTGAGGAATACTGGACCTCTGTCATATCAACAGGGACATTCTTCAAAGATCAGATCAAGGAGACCCAGGCATCAAAGAATATTTACATCATTGTTATTCCCCATATTGGAGAAAAACCCAGCATTTCCTCCAGATCTCATGTTATGGTCACAGACCGTTCTGCATGTGAAATCTCCCTTCCATTGTGAGAGCTGGTGTTTGGGAAATG